GGGATGCTGGTGGATGAAGAATTGGACATGTCCTGGCCATGGGAATGAGCTGAGCAATAATCCCCCGTGTCCAGAGCTTATCCCCACAGTGTGGGCAGAACATCCTGACACTCTGCTGCACTCTGATGGGACTGGACTTGGGCCTTCCAATCTGAGGACACAAAAAAGGGGAAGACACGGACCTGCTTGAGCGGATCTGTAAATGGCCTTAGGAGATGATGAGGGTCAGGAGGAACTGGTGTCCAGCCAAGGTGAGTGCACCACCCAGGAGGACCTTGTGTCAGAGTCACGAATAGACTTCAATTAGTGGATCCAAGCGTGTGTTCAAGCAAGTGAAAAGTTACTGTGATGCACTGGAAAAACAAAGCACACCAATGGGTACTGGAATTGCAGTAATATCTCCTAAAAGAGGTCTTGGAGCACTTTTTCAACAACCCCAATAGCCTAAACAATATTGCCTTAATCTCAAAGGGTCTAGGGAGAAGAAAGGAGAAGAAGTCTTCTGAGGTTATAATGCAGGAAAACTTTATTGAGGTAGAACAGCAAAAATTTAGGAGCAACCAGTGGAAGGCAGCTGGTCTGAGGTGCAAGTAGGGCAACCATCAGCTGGGGCCCCTTGCTTGCAGATGGTTTGGCCAGACCACCAAGGGTTCCTGCCCCACAGTGGGAGCAGATCAGTACTGGGAGGAGGTGTCCCTGGTTTGGGAGAAGGGGTTTGCAGCAGAGGGAGCCAGAGGGACAATGCAGGGCAGGGAGAAGAGCAGGAGGCAGATGGGCCATGTTTCCAGGGCAGCCCCGGTTGGCCCCTTGTCTGCTGCCTTGCATGATGCCCTGAGAGCAGGAGCTGGAAGTGCTGAGTCCATCTGAGAGCCTTGGACCAGAGAAGCATCCTCAATGCCTGAGATGTGTTCCAGGGAGCTGGTGGTTGGCGTCAGGGTTGCTGTCGAGGGCCCTTAGCAGTTGTAGCCACCCCTTCTGCCATAGCAGCCCAGGCCTCCCAGCCCATAGCCACAGCCCAGCCCGTAGCCAAATCCACGGCCATAGCCAAGGCCGTAGCCAAATCCACCAAATCCACCAGAGATGGGCTGTCCCTGCACACTGAGTTCAGTGCCCACGGCAGCCGAGGAGGTGGATCCAACGGCGGTGTTCTGGGGGAAGGAGGTCATGATGGGTCCTGGCAGGGTGACCTGCACAGGAGAAGGGTTGATGACAACGTGGGAGTCCTGGCATTGCAGGGCACAGGGCTCATTGCAGCTGTTGGCCAGCGGGGTGGGTCCGCAGGGACGGCAGATGTCGTAGCAGGCCATGGTTGTGGTGTGGAGGGTCCCTGGAAGAGAGAAGGGAATGAGGCAGGGTAGGGCTGAGGGGTGCGAGGTGTGAAGTTGACAGAGGGCAAGGGAGCGTCGAAGCTGTTGTGGGGCTGTGGAGAGGTGTTAGGTCTGCTGAGGCTGGGGCTAAGCGTGCTGGAATAGGAAGGCCAGGGGTGCAGGAGCAAGAGGGTCAGGGATTTGGGACTCACCTGGCTGTCAGCAGGAGCAGGAGGAGAAGGCGTCAGAAGAAGTGTGTGAGGGAGAAAGGCTCTGGGCTGGCTTTTATGCTGCTTCTGGAGGGGCGGGACAGCGTTGTCCCATGGCCTTGGGACATTTTGCTGGCAGCAGCTCTTGCCTGGCCCAGCTTTGTGAGTAATGAGGTCAGGAGTGTTTTCCTTCCTGATATTCTGCAGTATCGTGTCTTCCTCTTCTCTTCATGTCCTTTTGACATTGGCGGCATCTTATAATTGCAAGAATTAGAGACCAGTGGCAGTTTTTTTGATCACATCTATCAAGACACATAGAAGATTCAACCAAAGCTAAGGAGAACTGGGACGGCATCAGTGAGGTCATGCCATGTTGACATGTCTTATTTCTATTTTTGCCTCCTCTCTCAAGAAGTCCAAGCCCTTTCAGCTTCTCATTTTGAGGATATCCCAGTGCTGTAACTGTCATGGTCTTCCTGCACTGCTCTTGGTCAACTATGTCCTTGTTCCACTCTGGAGCACCAATAGTGGTGGGGAACAGGAGGGTCAACTCCCTCAACCTGCTTGTAATTGTTCTCCTACATTACGTATCCTGGTAAGTCCTGGAGCTTTTTATTCCAGAGGGCACATGTCCACCTCATGATCCACTTCAGTTCCAGCAGGACTACAAGGACCTTCCCTTCTCAAATGCTTAGGTTGCCAAGGGAAGGGCAACTGGTGTCATGAGTCTGGACTTCTGTCAAGGCTTTAACAGAGTCCCACAAGACACCCTTGTCTCTAAACTGCAGACACTTGGGTTTGATGGGTGGACTAATCAATGGAGGAGGAACAGCCAGAGAGTGCTGGTCAATTGGTCTATGTACAGGTGGAGGCCAGTGATGAAGCCTTCAGGTCCCTGCCTTAGACTGGTGATCCTGAATACCTTAATCAAGGACAGTGAGATCAAGATCACCCTCAGCATGTTTCCAGGTGCCAGGAAGCTGAGTGTTGCAGTTGACACAAGAACATGGAGGGATCTCATCAGGAGGGACACTGGGAATGGTGAGAATGTAAGAACCTCATGAGCTTCAACAAATCCAAGTTCAAGGTCCTGGATGTGCATAGGGGCAATCCGAGACATGAGCACAGCTTGGCAGAGGAACTCCTTGGGAGCAGTTTGACAGAGAAGGTTTTGCAGGTTCTGGTGGACCAAAACCTAGACATGACTCAGCAATATGAATTTTCAGCCCAGAAACACAACCATACCCTGGGCTGCATAGAAACAGGTGTGGACAGCAGGAATGGCTGGGGGTCAATTGAACACAGGAGAAAACACACAAATTCTTGTGGGCTTTCTTTGTATCTTCCACATTCCTGACACAAAATAATAGCAATCCATTGGCTGCTATTGTTCCCAATTAAAAGCTTCTGCCAAGGTCAGATGGAAACGACCTCAAGGGGAGGGCATGGAATAACATAACATCAGGAAGGAAAACAAGACCCACCTTATGACTCACCAGGCTGGGCCAGGCACAAGCTGCTGCCTAAAAACGCCCCAAGGCCATGGGACTAGGCTGTCCCGCCCCTCCAGGACCAGCATAAAAGCCAGCCCAGAGCCTCTGTCCCTCACACGCTTTTCCTTCTCCTCCTCCGACAACAAGGTGAGCCTAAAAACCCCAGACCCTCCTTTTCCTGCCCTCTTGGACCCTCTCTTCCAGGGCACTCAGCCTGAGCCTCAGCAGCCCTAACACCTCCCCACAGCCCTACAACACCTACCCCACTCCCTCGCACTCTTTCATCACTGCCCCGTGCATCCCCCCACACCCTTGCCCTGTCTCACGCCCTCTCTTCCAGGGACCCTCCACACCACACCCATGGCCTGCTACGACTCCTGCCGTCCCTGTGGACCCACCCCACTGGCCAACAGCTGCAACGAGCCCTGTGCCTTGCAATGCCAGGATTCCCACGTTGTCATCAACCCTTCTCCTGTGCTGGTCACCATGCCAGGACCCATCATGACCTCCTTCCCCCAGAACACCGCCGTTGGATCCACCTCCTCGGCTGCCGTGGGCACTGAACTCAGTGTACAGGGACAGCCCATCTCGGGTGGATTTGGTGGATTTGGTGGCTTTGGCTATGGCCGTGGATTTGGCTACGGGCTGGGCTGTGGCTATGGGCTGGGAGGCCTGGGCTGCTATGGCAGAAGGGGTGGCTACATCTGCTAAGGGCTCTCAGCACCACCCCTGACACCAACCACCAGCTCCCTGGAACACATCTCAGGCATTGAGGATGCTTCTCTGGTCCAAGGCTCTCAGATGGACTCAGTGCTCCTAGCTCCTGCTCTCAGGGCACCAAGCAAGGCAGCAGACAAGGAGCCAACCTGGGCTGCCCTGGAAACATGGCCCATCTGCCTCCTGCTCTTCTCCACTCCTTGCTCTGCTTGGCCCCTTCAGCTCTGTCCAGCTGTCTCTGCTGCAAACCCCTTCTCCCAAACCAGGGACCCTTGGGCACCTCTGCTAAGCTGCTCCCACTGTGGAACCCTTGGTGGTCTGGCCAAACCATCTGCAAGCAAGGGGCCCCAGCTGATGGTTGCCCTACTTGCACCTCAGACCAGCTGCCTTCCACTGGTTGCTCCTGAATTTTTACTGTTCTACCTCAATAAAGTTTTCCTGCATTATAACCTCAGAAGACTTCTTCTCCTTTCTTCTCCCTAGACCCTTTGAGATTAAGGCAATATTGTTTAGGCTATTGGGGTTGTTGAAAAAGTGCTCCAAGACCTCTTTTAGGAGATATTACTGCAATTCCAGTACCCATTGGTGTGCTTTGTTTTTCCAGTGCATCACAGTAACTTTTCACTTGCTTGAACACACGCTTGGATCCACTAATTGAGGTCTATTCGTGACTCTGACACAAGGTCCTCCTGGGTGGTGCACTCACCTTGGCTGGACACCAGTTCCTCCTGACCCTCATCATCTCCTAAGGCCATTTACAGATCCACTCAAGCAGGTCCGTGTCTTCCCCTTTTTTGTGTCCTCAGAGTGGAAGGCCCAAGTCCAGTCCCATCAGAGTGCAGCAGAGTGTCAGGATGTTCTGCCCACACTGTGGGGATAAGCTCTGGACACGGAGGATTATTGCTCAGCTCATTCCCATGGCCAGGACATGTCCAATTCTTCATCCACCAGCATCCCAAGTCCTTTTCCTCAGGGATGCTCTTAATTAATCATTGCCCATCCATCATCCATTACTGTGATTGAGCCAATGCAGGTGCAGAACCTTCCTCTTGGCCCTGTTGACCTTCATGAGCTTTGCACTAGCCCATCTCCCCAGGCTGTCCAGAACCCTCTGGATGCCATCCCTTGCCTCAGACCATGAACCACACCACTCACCTTGGTGTCATCCCCCAGTCTTGCCAAGGGGGCACTCAAACCCACTCTCCGTATCCCTGAGAAAGATGGGAAGTTATAATGGTTCCAGTATCAGTCTCTGTGGGTCACCATTCATCCCTATTCTCGACACAGGGCCATGGAGCCATTGACCACAAGTTTTGAATGAGACCATCCCATCCATTCCTTATCCAGCCAGAGCTCCAACCATCAACTCCTCATCTCTCCAGGTTAGAGACAAGGAGGTTGTCTGGCACAGGAACAAAAGCTTTGCACAAGTCCAGGTACAGGCTATTGGTCCATGTTCCCTCATCCACCCATGCTGGAACCAATTCCAACCCACTAAAGCTGTCGCCAGGGTGAGATGGACATGGTCGCAAGAGCAGAACCTGGAATTTCTGAGCTGTGGGAAGCAAAAGAGTCCCAACCTCATGACTCACCTGGCTGTACCAGGCACGAGCAGGTAACCTGAATAATGTCCCAGTGTCCGGGGCAATGGCTGTCCCAAAGCTTCAGCCAGGGATAACCCTCAAGGCTGTTCTCTGGATCTTCTAAACCAGAGTCTTGTTCTCCTTATTGCCAGTAACCCAGAGATAAATAGAGCTCTCCAGTATCACCAGAGAGGAGCAGAGGGGCAGAATCTGCTTGATTGGAGCAATCCCAAACATGCAGAATACAAGCTGGAAGATGAGAGGATTGAGAGTAGTCCCAAGGAGGAGGACTTGGGGTGTCGGTGGATGAAGAATTGGACATTCCCTGGCCATGTGCACTCACCGACCAGAAACTCCCTGTATCCTGGGCTCATTCCCACAGTGTGGGCAGCACAAGAGAGTGGGGGAATCTCACCCTCTGCTCTCCTGTACCAGAATTTGGTGTAGAACTCTGAGCCCCCAGTGACAAGGAAGACATGGTACCTGCTTTTTGGATCTGTAGATGGGCCTGGAAGATGATGATGGACAGAAGCAACTGCTGCCCAGCAAAAGTGAACACACCCGCCAGAGAGGCTTGTGCCAGAGGCAGGGATAGATCTGCCTTAGTGTAGGTCTGTGATCCAGTAGCTGAAAGATTTGTGGGATGCTCTGGAAGAGCAAGGTGTGCCAGTTGGTAGTAGAATGGGGAAATAAATCCTAAAAGAGCTCTTGGCGCACTTTTTAACCCACCCCAGTAGAGTGTGGAACCCCGGCTTTGTGCTGAGTGAGACTGGAAGAGTCTTGGGATCAGAAAGAAGGAGGACTCATCTTAAGATGTGATGCAGGAAAACTTTATTGAGGTAGAAGACTGAAAGGCCATAAGCAGCAAGAGGATAGGAGGCAGGCTGAAGTGCAAGTAGGGTGATCATCAGACGAGTCCTTTGCTTGGAGGAGGTTTTTCCAGATCATCAGTGCCTTTTTGCCCCAGAGTGGGAGCATGATTTCTGGAGTGGTGCTGAGGTCCCTTAGCAGATGTAGCCACCCCTTCTGCCATAGCAGCCCAGGCCTCCCAGCCCGTAGCCAAAGCCAAAGCCAAAGCCGCCAGAGATGGGCTGTCCCTGGGCATTGAGTTCACTGCCCACGGCAGCTGAGGAAGTGGATCCAACGGCGGTGTTCTGGGGGAAGGAGGTCATGATGGGTCCTGGCAGGGTGACCAGCACAGGGGAAGGATTGATGATGACGCGGGAATCCTGGCATTGCAGGGCACAGGGCTCGTTGCAGCTGTTGGCCAGTGGGGTGGGTCCGCAGGGACGGCAGGAGTTGTAGCAGGCCATGGTTGTGGTGTGGAGGGTCCCTGGAAAAGAGGGGAGTGAGGCAGGGCAGGGGTGAGGGGTGCACGGTGTGTTGATGCAGGAGGGTGAGGGAGTGTGGAGGCTGTTGTGGGGCTGTGGGGAGGTGTGAGGGCTGCTGAGGCTGAGTTTTCTGGAAGAGACAGGCCAGGAGTGCAGGAGCAGGAGGGTCAGGGGTTTGAGGCTCACCTGGTTGTCAAGGTGTAGGAGCAGGAGGCGAAGGTGTGAAGAGAAGCCTGTGTGGGAGAGAAGCTCTGGGCTGGCTTTTATGCTGATCCTGGAGGGGTGGGACAGCGTTGTCCCATGGCCCTGGGGCATTTTTTAGGCAGCAGCTCTTTGCTGGCCCAAAGTATGACTCTTGATGAGTCATGATGAGGGGAATGTTTTTCTTCCCACAACTCTGCAATTCCATGTCCAGTTCTTGAATCAGCATCCATCTGACTTTGACTGTAGCTTTCAATCAGGATATTTGGGCTGATTTCATTATTAAGTATTTTTATTTTAATAATTAAATATTTATAAATATCATACATTCATTATTAAATGTGTAAGGGAGTGCTGAATAAGCAACCAGAGCCTTGGAGAGCTGCAATGTCATCAGTGAGGTCATTTCGTGGCACTCATGTGCTGTGGTTTGTGGCTGCTTTATGCAGACTTCGACTCTTTCTGTGCCACTGGAAGTCCATCACTCATTGTGTTGCTCCCAGGAATGCTGAGGGAGCTGCTGGTGTCCCTCCCTGGGGAGGTCACTCTGCAATGGTTTGGAAAGGTCCTCATGTCTGAGAGACCTTCCTGAGAGAGGAAAGAGAGCTCCTTCCTTTTGTGTCTTCAGTGTTATCAAGAAAGAGGATCTGGAAAATGAGAGGTAGCTCAGGGCTGGAGTTGTTCCAGTGTCATGGTCTACTTGTGTTTTGAAATTTACAGGACAATATACTCTGTCGTTAAAGTGTATTACTTGACCTCATTCAGAAACATAATAAACAACAAGTGGGGCCCTGTCCCTTTTTTCCCAGGCTGGTCTGTGACTTCAATTCCTTTTTCCCACGTTCAAGCCACAGGTTTTCATAACTTATAATTTGTAAGTCTTAATGCGTTGTTCCTATGAGCAAAACCCAATAATTACTAACGGACAGCCAGCAAGCTCCTCTTTCCTTCTCTGTCATGGACCGATTGTTCCTATGTGGAATTGTGCAATTTCATGTTCTGCTCCTGAGGGCACCTGGCCTTGGTGGTAGGTTTTAGTTACAAGAATTAGAGACCAAGGTGGTGGTGTTGATTGTGCGTGTCACGATACATAGAAGATTCAACCACAGCTTAAAAGATGTGGGGTGTCATCACTGAGGTCATTCCATGGCATATTGACAACATGTCCCATTTATATTCCTCCCTCTTGCCTGAAGGAAATTCCAGCTCTCTCAGCTTCTCTTCATCTTAACTATATTCCACTCCCATCAGTGTCATGGTCTCCCTGCACTGCTCCTGGTCAACCATGTTCATGTCCTTGTTCCGTGAAGCTCCAACAGTGGTGTGGATCAGGAGGATCAACTCCCTCAGCCTGTTCATATTTCCTTCCCTAATCCTGTCTCAGTAACTGCTGGAGCGTTTCACAGCCAAGGGTACATGGCCACCTCACAAGCCATTTATGAAATTTCAGCACAGAACACTGAACATATCCCAGGCTGCAGAGAAGTAGGTCTGGCCAGAAGGAATGTCTGGGGGTTAACTGAAGACATGACACAACACCCAGATTCCTGTAGGCTTTGTTTGCATCTTCTACATTCACGACAAAACCAGTACCAATTCCTTTGCCTCTATTTCTCCCAATTGAAATCTGTGGCCAAGGTCAAATGGGACTCAAGGGAAAGACACAGAATTGCAGAACATCGGGAAGGAAACCACTCCCCACCTCATGACTCACCAGGCTGGGCCAGGCAAGAGCTGTTGCCTAAAAAATGCCCCAGGGCCAGGGGCCAAGGCTGTCCCGCCCCTCCAGGACCAGCATAAAAGCCGGCCCAGAGCCTCTCTCCACCACACACTCCTCCTCACCCCTTCTCCTTCTGCTCCCACCAGGTGAGTCTCACTCCCCTGACCATCCTGCTCCTGCCGCCTGGGCCCCTCTTCCAGCATGCTCGGCCCCAGCATCAGCAGCCCTCATGCCTCCTCACAGCCCCGCAATACCTGCCCCACTCCCTCACCCTCTTTCATCACTGCCCCTTGCACCCCCACACCTTTGCCCAGCCTCACCCCCTTCTCTTCCAGGGACCCTCCACACCACACCCATGGCCTGCTACGACTCCTGCCGTCCCTGCGGACCCACCCCGCTGGCCAACAGCTGCAACGAGCCCTGTGCCCTGCAATGCCAGAACTCCAGCGTCATCATCAACCCTTCCCCTGTGCTGGTCACCCTGCCAGGACCCATCATGACCTCCTTCCCCCAGAACACCGCCGTTGGATCCACCTCCTCGGCTGCCGTGGGCACTGAACTCAGTGTGCAGGGACAGCCCATCTCTGGTGGATTTGGTGGCTTTGGCTATGGCCTTGGCTATGGCCGTGGATTTGGCTATGGGCTGGGAGGCCTGGGCTGCTATGGCAGAAGGGGTGGCTACAACTGCTGAGGACTCTCAGCCACCAGCTTTGGACTTGTGTATCTCTGTCATGACCAGTTCAGGACTCTGAAACAACTGCAAGCCAAGCTCCTTGGCTGATGGTCACTGTACTTGCACCTTATGCTGGATTCCTTCCACTTTTTTCTCTTGTCTTTTCATTCTTGTGATTCAATAAAGTTTTCCTGCATCAAAGCCTGAGACACCTCCAGTTCTTTTTTTAATTCCAATGGTCTCACATCCTCACCAAGTATATTCCACAGCTCAACAGAACATTGGGGTACATGGAATACACCAAAAGCACCTTCCCTCACAAATATGTCAAAACAACTGAGTCTGGCATGGGAAGTAGAGGAGGGAACATCTTCCAGAATCTGTAACCAAAACCTTGGACACATTAATTCTCTCCTGGGTATAGGTCTGGTAAAGTCTTTCCATACCAGTGCACACTTGCAAACTCCCTTACCAGCAGGTCTCTTGAGCCTTTCCAGCAAACTGAGGAACTACATCAACCACTCTGGCAGGAAATCTGGAGCACAAGTGCTTCAACTGCCCTGCTTAGCATCATCAAGAGCAGGATTTTCAAGACCATGGACAGTTCAGTGTTCACTCTCTCAGGACAGACGCTCCAACACCTCTTCCACTCTGTGGCCACCCTCACAATGAAAGATTCTTGTATTCTTTGCTCAGGGAATTCCATTTGTTTTCACTTGTGTCCTTGCTCTCTTGCCCTGCACGTGAACACTGCTGTGAGTAGCTGTCGTTCCGATTGGGAACGGCTACAAAGAACGACATAAACTCTCAAGGGAGTTTCAACACGAGAATTCTCTAGTTTATTGCTTCAGCCCTGTCTTATAGACAGATACATGGAAAGGTACAGAAAGGAAACTCTTATTGGTTAGCAAAGTGCTACATCACCATCATTGGTCAGGGGCACACCACCCCCCTGACCCTCTCCTGCAAGGGAAAACAAGACTGCAAAACAACATCTGCAAGGCTGTTTAGCATCCCTGAGAATTGTTTTAATTCCTTCTCATATTTTTCCCAGGCTGCTTTCTCAGGCAGCCTGAGGAGCCATGCGGCCTGCAATCTGTACAGGCACTGTGGCTCAGATTTAGCATCCATAAGTAGCTGGGCTCCTTCACATCATTCCCTGCCATCAGGGATTTGCACAGACTGATGGCACCCCCCTCCATCCTTGTCCACTGCGAGTCCCAGCTGTCTCAGCCTATCCTCTAGGAATGATTCTCCAACCCCTTTGGAGTTTTGTTGTCCTGAACTGGTCTGGATTCACTAAATTGACTTCATTTTCACACTGGGGAGCCCAGAACTGCCCACAATATCTCATGTGGGACCTCATCAGTGATAAGCAGACAGCTCACATCTCCCTGCTTGGTCATACACTTTTTCCAATCATCACCTGGGTAGTTGGGGTCCCTTTTACCACACAGGGACACCTCCTGCTTCATTTCGCCCCAACCGCAACCACAAAACAAAAGCTTTTTCAGAGAAGGAAACAATTGTTCCAGCTGATACCCAGCATTTCTTTTTACCTGGGATGACTCCTTCCAACAAACAGCTCTTGGCAGATGTCCAGCACCTGTGAGGTTTTCTGTGTTGGCCCAATGGATCCAAGTCCTGGGCTACAGCACTGGGGACTTGCTGCCATCTGGACTTCGGGACACTGACCACAAGCCCCTGGGTCCAGTCCTTCAGATCCTCCTCAGGCATCCACGCTGGGCACTGACACAACCAACCCAGACTTGCCTGAGTTGTTTTTGAGGATCATGCAATGCTTGCCTCCAACAAGCGACCTCCAAATCCTCATTCTGACCATCACAAGTGGCCTCACCCCTTGGCACTCAGCCCATGTAAAAATCCAAAAGACACCAGATATCAAAACCTTTAAAGTAAGAAGAGCACCAGGACACCCACAGAGCACAGCCAACATGAAAGATCAGGTCTACTGTCAAGCTTGGGCAGGTGGGATCAGTGTGGAAAGGGATGAAATGTAAGGGAAGGAGCAACACCTCCAGCACAGCTGGAAATCCCAGAGCAGCCTGTCAGGGCTGGGAAAGAATAGGGTTCCTCTTCAAAACACATCCATAAGCACATGAATGTCACACAGTGACCACACTGATGACACCCCACTGCTCCAATGCTTTGGTTGTTTATTCCGCCCTCCCTGACATTGACATGATTTCCTTGACATGAACACATTTAAAAGCAGCCACCAAGCTGAGAAGGAGGAGTCAAGAGCAGGATATGGAATCATAGAATTCCATAAAAAAATATCTACATCACGACAGAAAAGGAAAAAGGAGCTTGCTGAGCATCAGTTAGTAATTATTGGTTTTTGCTCTCTGGAACAAAATACAAAGACAAGTTATACGTCCTGCCTTGAAAATGGAAAAAGTGAAGTCATGTCACAGAACAACCTGGGAAAAAATGGGATCAGGCCAGGTGTATTGTTTGTTTTCTTTATTTCTGAATGAGGTCAAGAAAAACACTTATTTGGCCGAGCATGTTGTCATATGAAGTTGAGAACTCCAAATGGACCATAAAAATGGAACAGGTTCAGCCTGAACAGCTTCACGTTATCCAGATGGTGTCACTTCATTCCATTGAAGAAAAAAGGGGATGAGGTCCCTTTCATCTATCAAAAACCCCTCCTAGGCAATAGGACCTTTCCAAGCTCTTGCTGAGTGACCTCTCTGGGACATCAGCAGCTCCATCAGCATTCCTGGGTGCAACATAATGACTGATGGACACCCAGTAGTGCAGAATAGGAGCCCAGTCATCAGAAGGCACCCACAAACCACAGCACACGAGTGCCACAAAAGGACTGCACTAATGACATTGCAGTTCTCCAAGGCTCCGGTTGTTTATTCAGTCCTCTCTGACTGAACAATCAAATCCTCCCAAATACCAACTCTCCCTTTAAAAGCTGTGGCCAAGGTGAGATGGACACTGCCCCAAGGAAAGGACACAGAATTGCAGAATTGCATAAAGGAAAACACTCCCCACATCGTGACTCACCAGGCAAGAGCTGCAGTCTGCAAAATGCACCAAGGCCATGGGACAAGGATGTCCCGCCCCTCTGGGACCTGCATAAAAGCTGGCCCAGAGCCTCTCACCCTCACACACTTCTCCTGCTGACAACCAGGTGAGTCTCAATTCCCTGACCCTCCTGCCCCTGCACCCCTGGCCTCTCCCGGCCAGTGATCTCAGGACCAGCCTCCGCAGCCCTCATACCTCCCCACAGCCCCACAACAGCCTCCACACTCCCTCACCCTACTGCATCACCACCCCACAAACCCCCACAGCCTTGCCCAGCCTCACTCCCCTCTCTTCCAGGGACCCTCCACACCACAACCATGGCCTGCAACAACATCTGCCGTCCCTGCGGACCCACCCCGCTGGCCAACAGCTGCAACGAGCCCTGTGCCCTGCAATGCCAGGATTCCCGTGTCATCATCGACCCTGCCC